CCGTCCCCGAGCCCCCGCTGCCAGAGCCCTGCAAGCCGGCACTTACTTTCTATGTATCCGTGCAGCGTCACCATCCGAGCCCGCTCCGGGCTGCTGAAGGGTGAGTAGTGAATGTCATCAGAGAGCGAGGAAGGGATGCGGGACGGGGGGGCTCCCGAGGGCGGCACCGTGTGCTGGGGGGTGTGTTTTTTATGGCGAGCTCTGCAGTTTTGAAACCAAACCTGAAACAAAAAGCAGCAAACCTTGTGTCAATGGAGAGACAATTGGATTGAAGTGTTGGTCCTTCACCAAGACCCTATGATGGGTGTCTTTTCCAAGTATTTAAAAAAAAGGAATCAAATTTAGAAACCTGCACGCTGAAATACCTCACCAGCATGCCACCAGCTTCCATAGCTTTGTTTTACACTCACTGGCGCGAGAGTTTTGTCTCAAGACAGTACAGACGTTAGGGTACCTGAAGGGGCACCTCTACTATTGATTTGTCTTGGTCAAAGCCAACACTGTTCTTTATTAGGGTAATTAAAACTTTCAAGCTTCTTGCAGGAGTCACTGGGTGAAACACTCTGACTAGGTGATGCACAAACTCACGTTAATGACCACACAATTCCCTTCCACACCAAAATAACTTTAACAGCAAGCTGCTCCCTGAGCTCAAAGGGCTGCGAAAGCCCTTGGTACCAGCACCGTACCAGCCGGGGGAGCGGCTGGGCAGAAACACCCCCCGTACCCAGGCTTTGGCTGGGTTCGTCCATCCCTCCATCTGCAAAGCTTTGTCCCCGCACGGCTTCCACCGCAAACGATGGGAGCACCTGTCAAGGTCTTATTTAGATTTTAACCTTCCAGCCCAGCTAGTCTGGCCTAAAAGAACGGCTGAGATCAGCTGAGAAACGCGTGAGCATTGGCAAGGTGAGAGACAAGGGGAGACAAAACCGAGTAAAAGCTTAGGCTAGGAGAAGATGTGACTTTAGGGACGATGAAAACAATATTGTTTTAATCACTTGTGGTTTATCGTATTCAAAACCACATCAGCAGAACACTAAAGCTGCAAAAGGAGGGTACAGCGGTGGGATACCGCCCTAGTCCCTGCGGGCAGCAGGTACGAGCCCTCTGACCATACCTCACTGCTTTTAATTAAAAGAATAGTTAGGGGATTACATCCTAGAGTTAAAACGTGCATGGAAGGGGTTTTTTATGCTAATGTGGTGATTTCTTTCTTATGCTTTAATTTTTGAAAGATAGCTGGGAGTAAAAATCTTCTCCAAGGCTGAGTGAAGATCAGCTCTCTGCGGCCGAGCACGCTGGACCGCAGAGAAGGAAGCAGTCACAAGCATTTGACAAATTGTTTCCTGCTCAAAGTGCCTTTAAAAAATATCCACAGAAAAAACAGCCCAGCGTGCAGACTGCTCGATCTTTAGCTAAATGAAGAGTCTCAATAACGGAGGCTCGAGCCAGATTTTCACACACGAAATTTAAATGTGTTGTTGGCAAAAAAATCTTGGGTGAAAGCTCCAAGCTTGTTTAATGACTCGTGTTTTTATTGTATGCAGAACGTATGTCAGCAGAACATTAAAGTGAAGGGTATAAATGTCACCGAGGGGCAAAGCGGGGCTGGCTACGGAGAGGGCGAGCTGGGAGTTGCAGAGGGAATTTCTCCCAGTCCCCACGGCACCGCTCTCCCTCCCCTCCCGAGCAGCACAAGCGCGGGGACTTCCCCACCACCGCTTCTCCTGGGGCTGCAAACCCCCTTTCTCTTTCAACTTCTCCATCCCAAGGCTTCCCGGAGCGAGCCAACTTTGCC